ACCACCAGCCTTTCCTCATTGTTAGAAGGCTTTTCCCAGGCAGACGAACCTAAAAATACACCAGCTGGATGGTGAGGCTGACTCTCCTGTGGCCTCCGGGCTTTTTTCTCCCCCAGATAATCTCCCCTCTCTCTCTTCTTTGCTAATTACTAGCAGCTTAGCAGCTCCTGTGTTTGAAAATGGAGCCGAACTGTTTCCTATTGCTGAGAGCAGGGCAGTGACTAGGAGAGGTTGCAGGTAACGACCCATTAAATGCCATTTCCCCTTTCGGAGATTGGTTATATGGGGATTTTCAATCCTGTTGCTTCACTCTTCCAGCCTCCCTTCAAAAGTACAAGGCTGTAAAGCTCTTAGGGCAGTTTGCAGCCTTGTCCCACTGCTCGAGAGCAGCTTCTCTCCAAGAAACGATGCTTTTCCCTGGCCCTGGAGATGCAGACCCACCTGAGATTCCCGTGGAGTTCCTTCTGGGGTGTATGTGGTGGTGGGGAGCAGAGCAGTGACGTGAGCCCACTGGGGTCTTGGTGATGCAGGAGTGGGGATGGCAGGCGGGTCTGTGGGTGCCAGATGTGCACCTCTGTGCTTGTTGGCATGTTTTAAACCCCAGCTTTGGCTGTTTCTACGAGGGCTGATGCTTTGTAGCCCAGCCACCCATGCTGACTCGGCATCCATCAGTGCTCTGGACTCACTGCCCGGACGAGTGGAGAGCTGGTCCTTAATGCTCTGTCCAGTCTTTGCCTTTTAAGGTTTGTTTTTCCATCCCAGTACTCTTGTTTTGTGCTATCAAAAGTGATGATTATTTTCCCAAAGCCTGATCTCCCATCCCAAACCCAGGTTTCTGGCCATGCTGCAGGACCAGGAAGCCAGCAGCCTCGGGGGCTGAATGCTGCCGCCTCGTGCCACCTCTTTAGCAGAGAACAAGTGGGACGCAGGTGTTTGTGGGGCAGGGCGGTGGCTTTTTGATGAAAGGCTCTTTTGAAGTCAGGTGCACGAGCATTGGCTGTGGTGAGGTGGGCAGCCCCATCCAGGTCATGCAGCAGCTGAGACTGTGTCAACCTGGCCACTTTTGAGGTGAAACCATGAGGAGATGTCCTCTCTGGTGTGAGATGGAGGGGCCTGGGGTGGATTTGGTGCTTGCATGATTGCTTCGCCACCTTTGTTTCTGATGGCAGGTTTCCTGCTATATATATATGTGTGTGTTTATATATATGTGCATGGAAAACAAAACGAGAGCCTGCGGTGCTGTCTCGCTGACAGTGTAGCCCTGCGTGGGGCTGCCCTGCGCTGTAGGATGCTCTGTGCTGCATCACTTGCCGCCCAGGCAGCGTAACAGGGTGTATTTTTGGTCCCGCTCTCCCAGCTGGCACACGTACATCCAGGCTGGGGTGTATTATTTTATTGCAGCCTGTTTCAGGGCTGGGCTTGGCTCCAGGGTGTCTGCTTGGAGTTTTTCATGCTTTGGGACAGTGGTGGTGGTGGTGTGCATGGTGCAGGTCTCGCTTCCTGGCAGCACTCGTGTGGTGGTCCTGGGCTGAGTCCTCCTGGGGTGAGATGCTGCTTGAGTGCAGCCCCGTGGGGTTTGGGTGCTGTGTGGTTTAACGTGCGTGCTGGCGGTGGAGCTGCCCTGCCGTTAGCTGTACCATGACCTCTCCATGGGGGGTGGAGGTGGTGTGACGGGAGGGAAATGCCCTTTGGCCCCCACGTCACTGCTCCCCAGCTGTTTGGGCAGACAGAGAGCTGGGGCCATGCAGGTGCCTGTGCTCCAGTGCAGGGCTGCCTGCTGCCCCCACTGCTGTGGGATTGGACCCCACTTTAATTCCATCCAAGTCTCAGATACCCAGATTATTTAATCCTGAAGAAAGCAGACAAGCTAACCTTCCCTGCTGTTTTTTTTAATAATCGCTGCTGATGTTTTTAAGCAGGACTGGACAAAACCCCCGCTGGTGTCAGGGCACTAGGATGAGATGTTGCTGCTAATGTATATTTAGGAGCAGAAATCTCAGCGGAGCTCTGCAGAGTGTCATCTCTCTGCTCGCCCCAGCTCTGCCTTGCTTTGTTCATGTTAAAGCTCCTGAGTAGCAGTTCCCTACATTGATTTGGGAATCTCCTGTTGGGTATTCTAGCCCTGCTTTGTGGCAGCAGCCCGACCTCCAGCTCTCCTGCTCCCTGAAATAGAAGCGATGAATCATAGAAACGCAGCGAGAAGGTGATTTCCCTGCCCTGCTCGCCCATCCTGGCAGGGCGGTGCTCTGGCTGGCATCCCCACGCTGCACCGAGCTCCCACTTTCACCTCCACCACCTCCCCCACTCCTCCTCCTCCTCCTCCTCTCTGCAGCGTGTTGCTGGCGTGTGAGCCGAGTTCCGTGTCGATGGTGATCTCCTTTGGAGGGAACTGGCCGTATTGCTCCTGGAGGGGCTCAGCCCTGTGGTTCGCAGCAGCACGGTGAGAGGTTTCTTGGGGTGGGAAACCTCCCTCCAGCAACCTGCCAGGAAACCAGGCTG